ACTATATGGCTTCAAATCTTTGTCAATGAATGCAATTATATTGGCTGCATATAAATATTACATATTGGTAATTTTTAAATAAATAAAGCATTTTGTAGTTGGAAAAATTTAATTATATAATAAAATTTAATAATATATAAAAATTTAATTTCTAATATAGAACAAGGTTTATATTAGCCAGAGTACTTCTAAATATCAAATATGAAGAAATTGATGATACAGACAAACTTAGAAACTGATAAATTTAATTATATATAAAAATTTAATTATATTTAAAACAATATATTTTGTTACCTTGTCTAAAATAAAATAGGATTGATAAATAGTTATAAAACTTCATTATCTTTTAAATATTATAAACATTTTGCACAAATTAAACCATATTTTTCTATACATGAATTTTATTTAAACGTATGTACATGCATAGATAAACGTTCGCATTTATAAGTGAATTGTCGGTATCTTTGTTTAAAAAATAGATAAATTTTTAAAAATCTGTTAGGAAATATAAGAAAAAAATTTTTTAATTACAATTATAAATAACGAAAAAATATATATTTAACGATTTATAGAGTAGAGCATGGTTTATATTAGCCGGAATACTTCTAAAATCAAATATGAAGAAATTGATGATACAGACAAACTTAGAAACTGTTTACGACAAGAAGCTGCAAAATGGGCATGTGTTCTTGATGACATTACTTGTAAGGAAGTAGCCAACAAGAAATTAAAAAAACAACATCTCCAAGATCCTACAAAACACAAGTAAATATTGTTACATATTTTTAGCCTTTCTTAATCAAATTTTCTTACAGATATCGCTAATAATGCTCAAATGATTTAATCAAAAAATCCATATGCTAAGCTTTAATAAGAAAATTTAATTTTTTTTCTATTGTAGACTTTTGCCATGGTGGAAGGAATGGACATATTGTAAAGGTTTGAAAATAACTACCAAAAACGAGACCACATGGGAATTAATGCACACTATAGGATTGGAAAAATCTGACACTAAATTTTTTGAATATTTGGCTTGCCCTGAAGATATTAATCTCATCAAAAAGTTTTAGACGATATAAGATATAAACAGTACAATTCTACAGAACAGAAATATCAATATCATCTTAATGGTTTTTTCCATATTATTACGAAGCATGCGAAGAATCAAATTATACTGGACTACATATTAGATCATTTTAACGAAATAAGACCAAAGTAATGTAACATATTTTTATCAATATTTTGTACAAAAATTTATTATATATATTATATATACATCTGTTTTTTGTTTTTAGAAATGTTCATTTAACTGCAGCAATAATTATTATTATTAATAACGTATATTTCGAAAATCAAACTCAGGTAAAATTTTACGTGCTTAAATATGTATACAAAATGTGATGATAATGCGATATTAACAATTATTATTTAATGTTTTAAATAATTTTAATAATGTTAGAAAAATAATACATTTAGCAAATATTATACAAGGATGAATATTTTATAGAAACTAACTTAGTTGAAATAAATAACACAGGAGATAGATTTAGAAGACATCAAATGAAGGAGGTAAATTTAATAAATATTATTATGAAAAGAGAAAGAAAAAACATTTTGTTCTATCTTTTTAATTTTTGAATATTATGTTTGTATTAATTGTTATATAAACAGTATATTGATTCATTGTGGAAATCTTTGTTAATATATATTAGATTTTCATAATGCAAAATGAGATTACTATTTATTTATTTATATTATAATTAACAAAATGATTTGTTTTAGATGAGTGACACTGTGATAGATAAAGTTACTTTTATTACAGATATGAACAAAAGATAGTAACTCGCAACAATGAAATCAAAAAACACAAACATTATTTTAAATATGATTAAATATATTATTAAGGATTGTTGAGATAATTATTAAAATTATAAAATTTAGAAAATTATTAATATAAAATTATCAAATAAGCGATGAGCATATTACGAGATATAACACCATTATTTTGTGAAAATTTTTTTTCGAAATAAGTAATATAAATTTGTAAAATAATGCATTTGATTAATTTATTTGATTAATTAAGTAAATTTTGAATGTGCTTAATTACGATAATTGTTACACACAAATGCCGCCAAACACACATTCACACGCGTACACACTTATTTATGTATATATATTACGACCTCAGAAGTTTTGTTGACCTACCACATCATATTTATCATGATGACATGTACAGAGAATCAGTCAGTCTTTCGTGGTCTTTTGAACCGTATTGTGGTAGATATAATAATTCTTATAAAGTGTGTGGGAATAATTATATTCTTCGACCATTGTATACTGCTAAAGCATTAATTTGCTGCAGTAATTTAAAATATATATAATTTTCATCCATATAATTTTGTAGTTAACATACTGTTCCATAATATTAGGTAAGTCAAAATAAGTTAAAAATATAAAAACATATATTTGTGTACAAATACAATAAAAATTTAATTGTACAGTATAACAGAATTTTAAAAAATGTCCAACATATTAGTATAAATAAAATAGTTTTATTCAAAATTATCTTTAAATTTTAATCCAGATATAATTTCAAATAATGCCGATATATAATATTTAATGAATTATAATGTTGAAATAATCGTGGCCCCCTCAATATTTCATACCGAATAAATTATTTCTGAAACTTAAAAATGCTATAATTTACATAACAAATACTAAATATTATAGACACTTTTAATTGTTCTTTCATTATTAGATTATTAAGATTATGTTCTCTACAATTCGTCGTATTTATTTTTTATCAATAAAACTGTGTGTATTTTAATATTTAAAATAATTTTAAGTTGTGCTGACATTGAGTAAAAAATAACTGTTACAAGAAAAAAAAATCAAATATTAATTCTATTGTCAAAGGTAGAGTATATAATAAAAAAAATTAAAAATAGAACAATTGCTTTGAATTTGTATTCGATAAATCTTCTTAAAAGGCAATGTATTATAACAAGCGTGAACAAATTAATTTTATTAAGTAAGATATAAATATAAATATAACACTTCAAAATAAATAGAATTATATTAATCATATAAATCAAAATAGACAGAATATTATATATTTTATAATTTTTTATAAATTTATTATAAAACTTTTTATATAAAATATTTTAATAACTAAGATTAAATCACGGCACTGTAATATATTAAATACAAATAAGAAAGGCTTAAAGAGCCATACACATACGCAAAAAACTATTTATTTTTAATCGCTTATAACTCGAAAATTATTGGTACTCCGATATTGTTCGTTGAAAAAAAATTGTTTCCAAAAAATCACAAGTATCTGCTTTAACAAGTTCACTGCTAGTTCTGGGACATTTTATATAATATTTATTATCAAGTTTATAATTGGTACAATTTAAAATTGAAATTATGTTGGCTTTATTTTGGTGAATGTTCGTTTAGAGTTTATAATGCCCAATTTAAGAGACTAAATCAAACAGACCTTCAAAAGAATATAATAATAAACATGTGCTCCTTCTCTCTCGTCTCTCCTCAGTTTTTCTTGTCCCTACTGTCTTCTTCCTATTTTGAATGTAAACACAGGTATATATGTATTTAAAATAACGGCTCTTGTGTTTATATAAGTAATTTGCTTCAGCCAACTAACTTTATATACAATAAGTTTTTATAATTTAAACTCTATTTTATAAATTCTAAAAGTATATAATATATTGACAATGAGAATAATTATATAAAGAAATATAAACTATATTGCAAATTTAACTTTTGTTTATCGCTGTCAATTACAATATGTGTGACACTGAAATACACACACGCGCGCACGCATACGCACTCACACAGACGCACACATATATATCTATAATTTTATTTTAAAAAATTGTGCAAATAGAAATTTGCACATTGCTTCATTACCATATAATATTTTATTAATTAGAATAGTTTTTCAATTAATAATTTTATAACTCTTTTGTATTTAATTTTTTGTTTATGTTTAAGAATTATTTAAAAATACATCAAAGCTATATTTAAGTTCTTTATTTATTATTTGTGCAGAGTGTTTTCCGGATCTAAAATAAATATTCCTTTTCTCCGACATGATAATAATTTTAAAACTATTGTTAAGTAGCGGAATAATTTTTACCGCTGCGACGGTTCTCATTCCTAATGAATTTCGATGCTATCAACCATCAAAATATGTGAAACCAATACATTACGATATCAAGCTTACATCACAAATTGAAAGTAATATTTTCTATGGAGAATACAATATCAGCATAAACATTCTTAACAAAATGCAACACATATATTTACAGTCAGAAAATTTATGTATTAACAACATAGTTTTATTTACAAATATTGGAAAAAATCATGAGAATGATAAAGATACAGTATATAAACCGTCATATAATAGTAGTGGAGACACAATTAATATTGTCTTTGGAGATGAATTACCACCAGGAAATTATATTTTAAATATAAAATATTTTGGTACAGTTGATGAAAGCTTCAGAAGTTTGAACGTGCCAAACAAATCAATGTAAGTAATAAATTTTTAATAAATGTTTATTAAAAGGTGTACAATATGCAATTACAAAAGACATTGTAATTAGTATATTATTTATGTATTAAATATCCAAAAAATTATTATATCGTGTAATTTAAATATAAAAGCGAACAATCTTTATCTATAGTACACACTATTACATATTACATTTACACATTTTTTAACTCCCAATATGTTTATGTATGCGAAAAATATTTCAATAATTTATTTTCTTTGAAATGTAGTTGGATAGCTGCTCTACATTTCCAGATAATAGACTTCCCACAAATAATTAATTGTTGGGGTACCCAACATCTTTTAGAAACAACCTTTAGCATATCTATAGGTTGTAAACTATGCACGGCTTTGTCAAATATGCCATTGCGAAATACGGAAATTATTAAGAAAAATATGTTTTGGACACACTTCCATACCACACCTGCAATGTCGCCTTATCTCGTAACAATGCTGGTGTCTAATGACCTAACCATTGATAAAAACAGACTTCGAAAAATTAAAATATGGTGCAGGATCGAAACTGCACTTGACATAGAATTTGCAGAAAATATAGTTGGCCTTATTACGTCAAATTTTGAAAGTCATTGGAAACATTCGAACAATACTTCGCACGTCACTCATGCTGCAATTCCAAATTTCCATGACAACGGCATCATGGTTTTCGGACTTGTTCTTTATAGGTGAGTAAGTGCTTCAAATTATGTTAAAAATATAATTATATTAGTATGCAAATTTATAAAGTATAAAAACATGTATACCTATATATTTTATTTTTGTAAACTTGCGACATTATGATACATTTTGAAGACAAACAATTTCATTAAGAATAAAAATTTAGTACGTACATAAAAGGGAACGTATGCACGCTAAATCGTACCCCCTAGAGTAAATGTTAGAATTGCCATAAAACTATAAAAAAATAAAATTTTATTTTTATTTAGATCTATAGTTCTGATCAATGATATACGCATTAACACAAATTTATCATTTTCTCATATTATAAATTAAAAATTTGAAAAAATATTATTTGGTACAATTTACAATACAGGTTTGCTAAATTGTACCCATGAGTTTGTAAATCGTAACTCTAACAATAAAATTAAAAAATTGTAAGAAAAGTAAAGTTTTATTTTTTAAATAACTTCTCAGTCTTGACATTCAAATACAACTTTCAGGGAAACAGATATCATCTACAATAAAAAATTATATCCTGTTGCTCACGAAATTCAAGTAATTCAATTAGTAGGACATAAAGTGGCACAGCAATGGTTTTATGATATGAACAATCCGTTTAATTCGACTGTTTGGTTTAATCAATATCTTACCACATTTCTTGCAATAGATGCTGTCGATAAGGTAATTCTATATTCAACGCTATTTTGCTTCCACTTTCTCGCAAACGATAACAAACATACATAAGCATTTATATTGCAAGATTTTCGTATATTAAATTCTTTTTACAAAATGCACATAAATTTTTTGTAAATTGTCTTAAAAATATTTACCATTATATGAAATTTTGAATTGTTTTTTAAAAATACTTTTTTCACTTTGTTACATATGTATAATTATAATGTAAAGTATTAAAATTTTTTTATTTTTTAACAACACTTTATTAGATATTTTAAAAGTTTTATGTAATTTTAAATAAAATTAATTAATTAAAAATTAGTACACACACACGATATTTATTGAATTTGGTTTAATAAGAAGAACTCTTCTTTTTAATATCATGGGATAATAATTTTTAAAGTATGTAATGATTGCTAAATATATTAATAAAATGTTTTAGATTTATTATTATATATTTATTCGCATGTATTTTTCAAAATGAGAAAGTGTTTTTTTCTAACATAGAAGTAGCGCTAATATAACATTAATATTTGTTTCTATTGCGATTATTGATATCAATATACTTAATAATTTTTTTATAGATTTATACAGAATATCGAATAATGAATTTATTTGTTGTTCAAAATCAACATAATTCTTTTTCTTTGGATGGTGATTATCATATATGGAATTCTCCTATACAAGACGACAAATTCTTATTAAAAATTCGCGAATCTATCAGAGGTAAGATGTAATATAATAAAATAGTCCACGTAAATTTTTAAATATAAATATTATAAAAATATGTAAAAATTATAAGATAATTAACTTTTTATTTGGATTGTAATAATATATTACAAATTATATAATATAATAATATATTATTAAAATTTTATAAATGTACACGTATACATACACACACACACATACTCACACACATATGTACGTGCATACGTATTTATGTATATTATTTAATTAATATTTAAAGTATATTTACACACACACAAATACACAAACACAAACAATACAGATATTTGTATGTAATTTGCAACTAGAAGCTTCATAGTTTTCCTTAAAAACTATATTGTTTTTATCGAAAATATCGACATTTCTCATTATTTTACATGTATGTACAAAATTATTGAGATAAAATTGTAAAAATATGAATATTTCTTGAGATAGTATATTTACGTTTATATAAAATAACGTATTAAAGGTTTAAAATATCATATAACATTCTTTTTATAATTATCTTATTCTTACAATTTATTGTTTTGATAATGAATAATGCGAGAAATCGATTTATAAAAAATTAAGGTAGACTTATTTAAAAAATAGTAATTTTTAAATGACAAAAATTGGCCCTTAGGAAAAAGTCAGTAGCGTTCGTTTGTTTTTCTTTAGAAATTATAACACTCATGCAACAATCATACAACTTTTACTTAAAACGTTTTTCTTTAAAAAAATTATTCAAGAAATCATTGTTTAGGGATATTTGAAATGAAATAATTTGTGTATATGTATGTATATATTCTATGCATCAAAGTATTTAAGTATAATTACTGAAAACTGAATATTTTGCAAAATATATTTTACGTTTTGTCGAAATATTGTCAACTTCAAACCTTTATAATTCGAAAAGTACTTAATGAAAAAATGTTTTATTATAGTGTTTTAGTTAGGTCTCAACATTAACTATAAGAATATGTAATACAAAATAGAGGATTCCAATTAAACTTTTAATGTTGACATTGACCGTGCTATTCAAGGTCATCTCGAAGTCAAAGAGTCATAATATCATCGAATAGTTTTTTCAAGTCCTACTCTTTTTGTTTAAAATATTTTTTTATTAAATCAATATTTTCTGAGATATTTTGCCGTTCCGGAACTTTTGCTCCTCTATATATTTTGTGTGTGTGTGTGTGTATTTATATAGATAAAGTGTACGGTAATAACCGCGGATATGTAGGTAGAAAAAATTGAATGGTCCTTTAATGTTTTCCTATCTTCGTAAGAATTAACAAAAATTTTATTTTACTGTTTCGCGCGATTACTATCTTGTGTACATATAAAATATAATTTTTCTTTTTAAAATCATTATGTTTACATATAAACTTTAAAATAATTATATATTTATATTATTATATATCTAATTCATAATTTTGATGTAAATTGTAGCACCTTTTATACTGCGCATGATGCTACACGCTTTCACCGAAGAAATATTTTGGAAAACCGTTCGCACACACTATGTATTTAGCAAGTAAGTAATATAATAAAAAATATAATAAAAAAAATAAAATTGTGTAAAACTATTATATTTAATTTTATTATTCTTACTACGAAACTGCTTTTGTAGAAAGAATTTGTTGTTTTATTGTTGTCACTATTTCATAATGTTGTATTTAATGAATGATATGGCTAGATCGCTTTTATTGTAAATAACAAAGATAGAGAATCTATTGCTGTGAGATCTCACAGCAATAGATTCTCGATCTTTGTTATATTTAATGTTGTTTTGTTTATCTTTGTTTCACGATTTGTCATTTTTGATAAAAATTTATAAATTATTTTTATTTTATTATTTTCTTCAATTCTCTATATCATCTATAATGTTTATAATTTTTTTTGTTTAATTGCATTTTATGCTACATATGTTTTTTAATCTTATATTTAATAGGTTTTTGAATATCTAAGACATATCTTTTTTCCATTACTTCTCTATTTTTATTTTCGTCTTTCGTAAATCGATCTTCTTTATATTATTTTTGTTTTGTCATTTCTCATATGTTTTATCTATCTTTTAATTATTTTATAATTCTCTCAATACTTTGCTCAAATAACATTTATATTATGCTAATGGCTAAATAACTTAACAAAATTATTAAATTTTATTTAAATTTTATTTAAAATTGTTATATTCTTTATTACTATAATATAAATATAAGATATATAAATATATAAATAGAAATGCAATTTTATATTTTACTTTATATTATATATTAAAATTGTTTACACTAATAACGTTATACAGACAATTTTAACATATTTTTTCTTCTATATATTTTACATACTATGTAAATTTAGGCGAAGTATGGGTCATTTTCTGGATGAAATTGTTACTGCTGTAAAAGAACATAGTGCTATGGATATAATCAATAGGTGGTATATGGAAAAGCATTGTCCCATTATAAAAATAATACAAAGTTATAAAATTAATAATACGGATATTGTGACCGAAGTAAATGTATCGATACAATATACCGACACATTAAGCGTTTATTGCGTTTTTGTAACTTTTACTACGCAAACGTTTTCCGATTTTAACAATTTTACTCATCATAAGGTATGCACAAAAAAGGATTTGAAATTATCATTAAGATATGAAGAAACTGGTTGGATGATATTCAATCTACAACAAATTGGTAAGTCGATGATGCATTTCATTTAATGATATCGACCAATGAACTTATTATGACTTATTTCTCGTCTTTATTGTACATACACATAATTGACAATATTTTATATTTTTATCTATTTTATTCATTGTCCTATAAAAATATAACTATAATAGTTTTAAAATATTTTTTATGTAATACTCTGTATTATTATATATAATTAAAGTATACATCGGTGTTTTCTATTATAATATTAATCAATTTTGAAGTTATATTTTTGCAAATATTTTATTCTAATAACTTTAAAATTATAAAAGTTAATTATATTTGTCAAATTAGTATAATAATTAGAACAAGTAAAACATACAATTTTCGTAAAGTTACACGTTACAGAAACTTTACTTACTAATCTAAAATAATTATTACATAATTTATGAACAACTAGAATCAATTTTATTTTATGCTATACAACAATATCTTGCACAATTTTTATTTCTTATTTCTAATTAATTTTCTACATGTATATTTATATTTATTTATATTTATTTATCTATATGTATTAAGTTTTTAATACGTTTTTAATTTATAATTTATATAAACAAAAGTATGAAACCAAAATGTTTGAAAATAAATACATTACAATGATAAAATTATTCAAAATAATAAATATTTATAAAATTTATTTACTATTTGACAGGATATTATCGCGTTAACTATGAGAAATGGAATTGGCAAAAAATTTCATATTTTCTAAACTCTGATAATTACACGAAAATTCATGTTCTTAATCGTGCTCAAATTATCGATGATGCATTTCATTTAATGATAGGAGGCCAACTCGATTCACATGTATTCTGGGATATCATAAATTATATGCAACGAGAAAGAGATTATATTGCTTGGTATCCTATGTTTAAAGCTCTGGAATATTTGTCCAGTGCTTTTATAGTGTTGGAAGAAAACATTGAGAAGTTTACCTATATGTACTGTACGGTAAATATTAATAAATTTCAATGAAAGTGTTATATTTCAAATATTTGCATATGTACTCTCCTTTACTACAAAAAGTTGAAATACTCAGTAAAATATATACCGCAACGATAAACTTTTACACATTATTAAATATGTCACAAATAAATGTACAAATAAATCCAGTTTGAATAATCACTCACGTGAAGAACAGGCCCTAAAGTGTATGATTATCACTACTACTAATGTTATTGACATATATAACATTGTTTTTGGATATATAGCCGGGTTCTTAAAAATCTTTGTCAATGATTTATAATTATAAACATTTTGCACAAATTTAATCAAATTTTTGGTGAGGGCTCAAATTGTGTCGCGCGGTCCGAGTGATTATTGAAATCGTCCCGCGAATGCAACATATTAGGGGATGTAATTTATAATCCAGGAACATTTGCCCAAACGTCACACTTGGGCTTAATGCGGGTGCAAAAATATTAATTGAACAGAAAAATAATTATTTAACAATTTTTAGGGAACAATAAGAGATATATTGAAGAATGTACTTGAAAAAATCAGATATGAAGAATATAATGATACAAACAAACTTAGAAAGTGTTTACGACAAGAAGCTGCGAAATGGGCATGTCTTTTTGATGACATTACTTGTAAGAAAGAAGCCAACAGGAAATTAACACGACATCTCCAAAATCCTTCAAAACGCAAGTAAATATTGTTACATATTTTTAGCCTTTCTTAATCAAATTTTCTTACAGATATCGCTTATAATGTTCAAATAATTTGATCACCAGATGCAGATGCTAATCTTTAATAAGAAAATTTAATTTTTTTTTATTGTAGACTTTTGCCATGGTGGAAGGAATGGACATATTGTAAAGGTTTGATGATTACCAAAAGCAAGTCCACTTGGCAATCAGTGTTTGATATAGGAGTGAATAAAGCTGACACTAAAGTCTTGGAATACTTGGCTTGCCCCGAAAATATTAATCTCATCAAAGTGTATTCAACATTTAAACAAAACATTTCTACAGCACAGAAATATTCAAATTCTTTTAACAGTTTCTTACATATTATTACGAAACATGCAAAGAATCCAACTATACTGAAATATATATTAGATCATTTTAACGAAATAAAACCAAAGTAATGTGACATATCTTTATAAATATTGTGTACAAAAATTAATTATGTGTTATATATACATCTGTTTTTTTTTGTTTGTAGGGAGGTTGATATAATTGCAGCATTAATTATTGTTATTAATAACGTATATTCCGAAAATCTAACTCAGGTAAAAATTTTACATGTTTAAATATGTATACAAAATGTGATGATAATGCGATATTAATAATTATTATTTAATGTTTAAAATAATTTTAATAATGTTACATCAACGTTATTTATTTATGATGTTTAAAAACTAATACATTTTAGGAAATAAACAAATACGTTGAAAAAATGAAGGCCGAAACAGATATATTTGATAAAATAAAAAACTTTACACATTTTCACAGTTTTTACATAGAAAAGGTAAATAAATATTATTATGAAACACAAATGTAAGAGAATATTGTTCTTATTAATTTCTGAATATTAATTTTATATTTGTTTTGTTTATTATATAAAGAAGATATTAATTTCATAGTGCAAATCTTTATTTATATATATTCGATTTTCATAAAGCGGAGTTATGATAAAATTAAAAGCCATATATCAATTCGCAACATGCAAATCAAAAGACAGAGAGAGTATTTTGGCAGATTTTTCTTCTGGTGAAACAATTTAAAATAAAAAAAATTGCAGCTTTGCAGGGGTGGATATACTTCATATAAATAATTTTTTTATATTGTATGTACTTTATTTGTGTGATTTATTTTACTGTTCAATTATTATTGATTTAGATGTATTACTATTCATTTCCATTGTATTTACAAATATTTATGACTGCATGCATCAAGTTTTTCATTTTTTTGCGAACTTGCTATGTAATTGAACTATATATTATTGCCTATGTTCACAAGAAGATAGCCATATAATATTACTATAAATTTTATTCTTAGACATAAAATAAAAATATAAATGTATAAATTTAAATTATATATATATATATATATATATATATATATATACCTATTTATATTTGTTAAATGATAAATGAACTATCTATATTTTGAATTACATATATTGACTTGTTTTTAATTTTTTTACGTGAATTAATCTAAATATATGTTTGCGCACACACGCATACACATACACACATGTATATATCTATACGTGTGTATAAATATATATATATATATATATATATATATATATATATATTATATATATATACACACCCTTACGTAACAAAACTACAAGAATATAAAAAATTATTAGTATAACAATATATTAAGGATTGTTGAGATAATTATTTATATTATAAAATTTAAAATATTATTAAGATAAAAATATCGAATGTGTGATGAGAATATTATTAGATATTACATCATTATTTTAGTAAAATTTTTTTCGAAATAAGTAATATAAATTTCTAAATAATGCATATTTATTTGATTAATTGAGTAAATTTTGAATGTGCTTAATTACGACAATTGTTACACGTAAATGCCGCCAAACACATACACACACGCACACACTTATTTATGTATATATATAACGACCTCAGAAGTTTTGTTGACCTACCACATCATATTTATCATGACGACTTGTACAGAGGATCAATCAGTCTTTCGTGGTCTTTCGAACCATATCGTGGTAGATATAATAATTCTAATAAAGTGTGTGTAAATAATTATATTCTTTGACCGTACTGCTTAAGCAATTTGCTGCAAAAATTAAAAAAATATATAATTTTGCAATTAACATACTGTTCCAAAATACTAGGTAAGTCAAAATGAGTTAAAAATATAAAAACATATTTGTCTACAAATACAATAATAATTTAATCGTACAGTAGAACAAAATTTTAAAAAATGTCCAACATTATAGTATAAATAAAAAGTTTTATACAAAATTATCTTTAAATTTTAATTCAGATATAATTTTAAATAATGCCGATATATAATATTTAATGAATTATAATGTTGAAATAATTGTGGCCCCCTCAATATTTTATACCAAATAAATTATTTTTGAAACTTAAAAATGCTATAATTTACATAACAAATAATAAATATTATAGACACTTTTAATTGTCCTTTCATTATTCGATTATTAAGATTATGTTCTCTACAATTCGTCGTATTTATTTTTTATCAATAAAACTGTGTGTATTTTAATATTTAAAATAATTTTAAGTTGTGCTGACATTGAGTAAAAAATAACTGTTACAAAAAAGAAAAATCAAATATTAATTCTATTGTCAAAGGTAAAGTATATAATAAAAAAAATAAAGAATAGAACAATTGCTTTGAGTTTGTATTCGATAAATCTTCTTATAAAAACGATGTATTATAACAAGTGTGAACAAATTAATATTATTAAGTAAGATATAAATATAAATATAACACTTCAAAATAAATAGAATTATATTAATCATATAAATTAAAATTGACAAAATATTAATTAATTTAAAATTTTTTATAAATTTATTATAAAATTTTTTATTTAAAATATTTTAATAACTAAGATTAAATCACGGCACATTAATATATTAAATATAAATCACAAATAAGAAAGGCTTAAAGAGCCATACGCGGATATTGCTGCGTACATTTCCAACGAAAATTAAGTCGTCTCGTAGAAATAAACTGTGCACAAGGCGCGTATCATTCTCGATGTATTACTAAGACTTAAAATTTGAAATAATTTCATAATATTTTATATAAATAAAATGTTTCAAAATATTTTATATAAAACGCTCAAATCGCATGTTGATATTAAATTAAAAACGAATAAACAATAGTTTATATTGATTTATTAAGATACTCCATTAAAACTGAAACGCTTTAAATATTTAAATTAAATTTAATGATTCAAATTTAATTTTTGCTTTTACAATCAAAAACAATAATGTTACATGTACATTTATGGTGAGAATATATAACCAAAATATGATTTCAATTACCAAGAATTGATAAAATAATTATTGATAAAGATTATTGCTTTAATACCTAATCTCAAAATAAATCTATGATAAAAAGTTAAATCGTGATAATTATAATTTTTGATAATTATTTATTAATTATAAATTATAAAGTAAAATGAAAAAACACACTAATTGTCAATCAAATAAAGAAATTTATATCATAGATTTGAAGCAATCGTTAACATATCTATTTTGAGGCGTTGAATCTGAAATATCTAAAAAACTTCATTATATACAGTATGTATCAGAAAGAGTTGTAAACCAGTAAATAGTAGATGTTTGAATCATTTGGAGTCATTTTTTCTTCGCAAATATGCCGATGTAGACTATCATTATTTGCAGGTTTTCAAATTTGCCATCATGTAAGTTTGCAAAAAACTATTTATTTTTAATCGCTTATAACTCGAAATTTATTGGTACTCCGATATTGTTCGTTAAAAAAAATTGTTTCCAAAAAATCACAGGTATCTGCTTTAACAAGTTTACTGCTAGTTCTGGGACATTTTATATAATATTTATTATCAAGTTTATAATTGATACAATTTAAAATTAAAATTATGTTGGCCTCAGTTTTGGTGAATGTTCGTTTAGAGTTTATAATACCCAATTTAAGAGACTAAATCAAACAGACCTTCAAAAGAATATAATAATAAACATGTGCTCTCTCTCTCTCGTCTCTCCTCAGTCTTTCTTGTCCCTACTGTCTTCTTTCTATTTTGAATGTAGACACAGGTATATATGTATGTAAAATAACGGCTCTTGTGTTTATATAAGTAATTTGCTTCAGCCAACTAACTTTATATACAATAAGTTTTTATATTCTAAATTATATTCTATAAATTTTAGATGTATATAATATATTGACAATGAGAATAATTATATAAAGAAATATAAACTATATTGCAAATTTAACTTTTGTTTATCGCTGTCAATTACAATATGTGTGACACTGAAATACACACACGCGCGCACGCATACGCACTTACACAGACGCACACATATATATCTATAATTTTATTTTAAAAAATTGTGCAAATAGAAATTTGCACATTGCTTCATTACCATATAATATTTTATTAATTAGAATAGTTTTTTAATTAATAATTTTATAACTCTTTTGTATTTAATTTTTTGTTTATGTTCAAGAATTATTTAAAAATACATCAAAGCTATATTTAAGTTCTTTATTTATTATTTGTGCAGAGTGTTTTCCGGATCTAAAATAAATATTCCTTTTCTCCGACATGATAATAATTTTAAAATTATTGTTAAGTAGCGGAATAATTTTTACCGCTGCGACGGTTCTCATTCCTAATGAATTTCGATGCTATAAACCATCAAAATATGAAACCAATACATTACGATATCAAGCTTACATCACAAATTGAAAGTAATATTTTCTATGGAGAATACAATATCAGCATAAACATTCTTAACAAAATGCAACACATATATTTACAGTCAGAAAATTTATGTATTAACAACATAGTTTTATTTACAAATATTGGAAAAAATCATGAGAATGATAAAGATACAGTATATAAACCGTCATATAATAGTAGTGGGGAGACACAATTAATATTGTCTTTGGAGATGAATTATCACCAGGAAATTATATTTTAAATATAAAATATTTTGGTACAGTTGATGAAAGCTTCAGAAGTTTGAACGTGCCAAACAAATCAATGTAAGTAATAAATTTTTAATAAATGTTTATTAAAAGGTGTACAATATGCAATTACAAAAGACATTGTAATTAGTATATTATTTATGTATTAAATATTTAAAAAATTATTATATCGTGTAATTTAAATATAAAAGCGAACAATCTTTATCTATAGTACACACTATTACATATTACATTTACACATTTTTTAACTCCCAATATGTTTATGTATGCGAAAAATATTTCAATAATTTATTTTCTTTGAAATGTAGTTGGATAGCTGCTCTGCATTTCCAGATAATAGACTTCCCACAAATAATTGATTGTTGGGATACCCAACATCTATTAGAAACAACCTTTAGCATATCTATAGGTTGTAAACTATGCACGGCTTTGTCAAATATGCCATTGCGAAATACGGAAATTATTAAGAAAAATATGTTTTGGACACATTTCCATACCACACCTGCAATGTCGCCTTATCTCGTAACAATGCTGGTGTCTAATGAGCTAACCATTGATAAAAACAAACCTCGAAAAATTAAAATATGGTGCAGGACCGAAACTGCACTTGACATAAAATTTGCAGAAAATATAGTTGGCCTTATTACGTCAAATTTTGAAAGTTATTGGAAACATTCAAACAATACTTCGCACGTCACTCATGCTGCAATTCCAAATTTCCATGACAACGGCATCATGGTTTTCGGACTTGTTCTTTATAGGTGAGTAAGTGCTTCAAATTATGTTAAAAATATAATTATATTAGTATGCAAATTTATAAAGTTTAAAAATATGTATACCTATATATTTTATTTCTGTAAACTTGCGACATTATGATACATTTTGAAGACAAACAATTTCATTAAGAATAAAAATTTAGTACGTACATAAAAGGGAACGTATGCACGCTAAATCGTACCCCCTAGAGTAAATGTTAGAATTGCCATAAAACTATAAAAAAAAATAAAATTTTATTTTTATTTAGATCTATAGTTCTGATCAATGATATACGCATTAACACAAATTTATCATTTTCTCATATTATAAATTAAAAATTTGAAAAAATATTATTTGGTGCAATTTACAATATTGGTTTGCTAAATTGTATCCATGAGTTTGTAAATCATAACTCTAACAATAAAATTAAAAAATTGTATAATAGGAAAAATAAAGTTTTATTTTCTAAATAATTTCTCAGTCTTGACATTTAAATACAACTTTCAGAGAAACAGATATCATCTACGATAAAAAATTACATCCTGTTGCTCACGAAATTCAAGTAATACAATTAGTAGGACATAAAGTGGCACAGCAATGGTTTTATGATATGAACAATCCGTTTAATTCGACTGTTTGGTTTAATCAATATCTTACCACATTTCTTGCAATAGATGCGGTCGATAAGGTAATTTTATATTCAACGCTATTTTGCTTCCACTTTCTCGCAAACGATAACAAACATAAGCATTTATATTGCAAGATTTTCGTATATTAAATTTTTTTTACAAAATCCACATTTTTTAAATTGTCTTAGAAATATTTACAATTATATGAAATTCTTAACTGTTTTTTAAAAAATACTTTTTTCACTTTGTTACATATGTATAATTATAATGTAAAGTATTGAAATTTTTTTATTTTTTATCAACACTTTATTAGATATTTTAAAATTTTTATGTAATTTTAAATAAAATTATTTAATTAAAAACCAGTACACACACACGATATTTATTAAATTTGGTTTGATAAAAAGGACTCTGCTATATAATATCATGGGATAATAATTATAAAAGTATGTAATATTTGCTAAATATATTAATAAAAGTTTTAGATTTTTTATTATATATTTTCATATTTGTTTTTCAAAATGAGAAAGTGTTTTTTTTCTAACATAGAAGTAGCGCTAATATAACATTAATATTTGTTTCTATTGCAAGTATTTTTCGAACAATTATTGATATCGATGTACTCAATAATTTTTATATAGATATATAAAAATGATCGAATAATGGATTTATTTGTTGTTCAAAATCAACATAATTTATTTTTTTTGGATGGTGATTATCATATATGGAATTCTCCTTTACAAGACGACAAATCCTTATTAAAAATTCGCGAATCTATCAGGGGTAAGATGTAATATAATAAAATAGTCCACGTAAATTTTTAAATATAAATATTATAAAAATATGTAAAAGTTATAAGATAATTAATTTTTTATTTGGTTTTTAATAATATATTACAAATTATATAATATAATAATATATTATTAAAATTTTATAAATGTACACGCATACATACACACACACACACACACACACACACACACACATATGTACGTGCATACGTATTTATGCATATTATTTAATTAATATTTAAGGTATATTTACACACACACACAAATACACAAACACAAACAATACAGATGTGTGTATGTAATTTGCAACTAGAAGCTCCATAATTTTCCTTAAAAACAACTATATTGTTTTTTCAAAATTATCGACGTTTTTCATTATTTTATGTACAAAATTATTCAGATGAAATTGTAGAAATATGAATATTTCTTGAGATATTATTTTTAGGTTAATATAAAATAACGTATTAAAGGTATAAAATATCCTATATAATATTTTCTTTATGATTATCTTATCCTTACAATTTATTGTTTTGATAATGAATAATGCGTGAAATCGATTTATAAAAAATTAAGATAGATTTATTTAAAAAATAGTAATTTTTAAATGACATAAAAATTGGCTGTTAGGAAAAAGTCAGTAGCGTTCGTTTGTTTTTCTTTAGAAATCATAACACTTATGCAACAATCATACAACTTTATTTAAAACGTTTTTCTTTAAAATAAATTATTCAAGAAATCATTGTTTAGGGATATTTGAAATGAAGTAATTTGTGTATATGTATGTATATATTCTATGCATCAAAGTATTTAAGTATAATTACTGAAAACTGAATATTTTGCAAAATATTTTACGTTTTGTCGAAATATTGTCAACTTCAAATCTTTATAATTCGAAAAGTACTTAATGAAAAATGTTTTATTATAGTGTTTTAGTTAGGTCTCAACATTAACTATAAGAATATGTAATACAAAATAGAGGATTCCAATTAAACTTTTAATGTTGACATTGACCGTGCTATTCAAGGTCATCTCGAAGTCAAAGGGTCATAATATCATCGAATAGTTTTTTCAAGTCCTACTCTTTTTGTTTGAAATATTTTTTTATTAAATCAATATTTTCTGAGATATTTTGCCGTTCCGGAACTTTTGCCCCTCTCTATATATTTTGTGTGTGTGTGTGTGTGTGTGTGTGTATTCATATAGATAAAGTGTACGGTAATAACCGCGGATATGTAGGTAAAAAAAATTGAATGGTCCTTTAATGTTTTCCTATCTTCGTAAGAATTAACGAAAAATTTTATTTCACTGTTTCGCGCGATTACTATCTTGTATACATATAAAATATAATTTTTCTTTTTAAAATCATTATGTTTACATGTAAACTTTAAAATAATTATATATTTATATTATTATATATCTAATTCATAATTTTAATGTAAATTGTAGCACCTTTTATACTGCGCATGATGCTACACGCTTTCACCGAAGAAATATTTTGGAAAACCGTTCGCACACACTATGTATTTAGCAAGTAAGTAATATAATAAAAAATATAATAAAAAAATAAAATTGTGTAAAACTATTATATTTAATTTTATTATTCTTACTACAAAACTGCTTTTGTAGAAAGAATTTGTTGTTTTATCGTTGTCACTATTTCATAATGTTATATTTAATATTGTTTTGTTTATCTTTGTTTCACGATTTGTCATTTTTGATAATAGTTTATAATTTATTTTTATTTTTATTTTATTATATTCTTAATTTCTTTATATCATCTATAATGTCTATAATTTTTTTTTGTTTAACCGCGTTTTGTGCTACATGTTTTTCAATCGTATATTTAACAGGTTTTTGATTATTTAAGACATATTTTTTTTCCATTACTTCTTTATTCTTATTTTCGTCTTTCGTAAATCGATCTCCTTTATATTATTTTTGTTTTGTCATTTCTCATATGTTTTATTTATCTTTTAATTATTTTATAACTCTCTCAATACTTTGCTCAAATAACATTTATATTACGCTAATAATATCTAAATAACTTAACAAATTTATTAAATTTTATTTAAATTTTATTTAAAATTGTTATATTCTTTATTATTATAATATAAATATAAGATATATAAATATATAAATAGAAATGCAATTTTATATTTTATTTCATAATATTTATTAAAATTATTTACACTAATAACGTTCTGCAGACAATTTTAACATATTTGCTCTTTTATATATTTTACATACTATGTGAATTTAGGCGAAGTATGGGTCATTTTCTGGAAGAAATTGTTACTGTTGTAAAAGAACATAGTGCTATGGATATAATCAATAGGTGGTATATGGAAAAGCATTGTCCCATTATAAAAATAATACAAAGTTATAAAGTTAATAATTTGGGTATTGTGATTGAAATAAATGTATCGATACAATATACTGACACATTAAGCGTTTATTGCGTTTTTGTAACTTTTACTACGCAAACGTTTCCCGATTTTAACAATTTTACTCATTATAAGGTATGCACAGAAAAGGAAATTGAACTTATCATTAGGATTTAAAGAAAATGATTGGATGATATTCAATTTACAACAAATTGGTAAGTCGATGATGCATTTCATTTAATGATTTTGACCAATGGATTTATTATGACTTATTTCTCGTTTTTATTGTACATACACATAATTGACATTATTTTATATTTTTAATATTTTATTTATTGTCTTATAAAAATATAACTATAATAGTTTTAAAATAGTTTTTATGTAATATTCTGTATTATTATATATAATTAAAGTATACATCGGTGTTTTCTATTATAATGTCAATCAATTTTAAAGTTATATTTTTGCAAATATTATATTCTAATAACATTAAAATTATATAAAAGTTAATTATATTTGTCAAATTAGTATAATAATTAGAACAAGTAAAACATACAATTTTCGTAAAGTTACACGTTACAAAAACTTTACTTATTAATATAAAATAATTATTACATAATTTATGAACAACTAGAATCAATTTTATTTTATGCTGCACAATTTTTATTTTTTATTTCTAATTAATTTTCATGTATATTTGCATTTTATTTATATGTATTAAATTTTTAGAACGTTTTTAATTAATAATTTATATAAACAGAAGTATGAAACCAAAATGTTTAAAAATAAATACATTACAATGATAAAATTATTCAAAATAATAAATGTTTATAAAATTTATTTACTATTCGACAGGATATTATCGCGTTAATTATGATCTATGGAATTGGCGAAAAATTTCATATTATCTAAACTTTGATAATTACACGAAAATTCATGTTCTTAATCGTGCTCAAATTATCGATAATGCATTTCATTTAATGATAGGAGGCCAACTCCTTTCATATGTATTCTGGGATATCATAAGATATATGCATCGAGAAGAAGATTATATAGCTTGGTATCCTATGTTTAAAGTTCTGGAATATTTGTCCAGTGCTTTTATAGTGTTGGAAGAAAACATTGAGAAGTTTACGGTAAATATTAATAAATTTCAATGAAAATGTTATATTTTAGATATTTGCATATGTACACTCATTCACTACAAAATGTTCAAATACTCAGTAAAATATATACCGCAACGATAAACTTTTACACACTATTAATTATGTTGCAAATAAATGTGCAAATAAATCCAGTTTGAATAATCACTCACGTGAAGAACAGGCCCTAAAGTGTATGATTATCATTACTGCTAATGTTATTGACATATATAACATTGTTTTTGGATATATAGCCGGGTTCTTAAAAATCTTTGTCAATGATTTATAATTATAAACATTTTGCACAAATTTAATCAAATTTTTGGTGAGGGCTCAAATTGTGTCGCGCGGTCCGAGTGATTATTGAAATCGTCCCGCGGATGCAACATTTTAGGGGATGTAATTCATAGTCCAGGAACATTTGCCCAAACGTCACACTTGGGCTTAATGCGGGTGCAAAAATATTAATTAAACAGAGAAATAAATATTTAACAATTTTTAGGGAACAATAAGCGATATATTGAAGAATGTACTTAAAAAAATCAAATATAAAGAAATTGATGATACAGACAAACTTAGAAACTTTACGACAAGAAGCTGCAAAATGGGCATGTGTTCTTGATGACATCACTTGTAAGAAAAAAGCCAACAAGAAATTAAAACAACATCTCCAAGATCCTACAAAACACAAGTAAATATTGTTACATATTTTTAGTTTTTCTTAATCAAATTTTTTTACAGATATCGCTTATAATGTTTAAATGATTTAATCAAAAGATCCATATGCTAAGCTTTAATAAGAAAATTTAATTTTTTTCTATTGTAGACTATTGCCATGGTGGAAGGAATGGACATATTGTAAAGGTTTGATAATAACTACCAAAAACGAGACATGGGAATTAATGCACACTAAAGGATTGGAAAAATCTGACACTAAATTTTTTGAATACTTGGCTTGCCCTGAAGATATTAATCTTATCAAAAAATATTTAGACGATATAAGATATAAACAGTACAATTCTACAGAACAGAAATATCAATATCATTCTTATGGTTTCTTACATATTATTACGAAGCATGCGAAGAATCAAATTATACTAGAGTACATATTAGATCATTTTAACGAAATAAGACCAAAGTAATGTAACATATTTTTATCAATATTTTGTACAAAAATATATTATATATATTATATATACATTTGTTTTTTGTTTTTAGAAATGTTCATTTAACTGCAGCATTAATTATTATTATTAATAACGTATATCTCGAAAATCAAACTCAGGTAAAAATTTTACGTGCTTAAATATGTATACAAAATGTGATGATAATGCGATATTAACAATTATTATTTAATGTTGTAAATGATTTTGATAATGTTAGATAAATAATACATTTTAGCAAATATTAAACAAGGATGAATATTTTATAGAAACTAACTTAGTTGAAATGAATAACACAGAAGATAGATTTAAAAGACATCATATAAAGGAGGTAAATTTAATAAATATTATTATAGTAAGAGAAAGAAAAAACATTTTGTTCTATCTTTTTAATTTTTGAATATTATGTTTGTATTAATTGTTATATAAACAGTATATTGATTCATTGTGGAAATCTTTGTTTATATATATTAGATTTTCATAATGCAAAATGAGATTACTATTTATTTATTTATATTATAATTAAGAAATGATTTGTTTTAGATGAGTGACACTGTGATAGATAAAGATTACTTTTATTATAAATATAAACAAAAGATATTATCTCGCAATAATGAAATCAAAAGACAGAAACAATATTTAAAAAATTTTTTTTACTAATCGGTGGGTGTAAAAAATTACAGCTTTGCATCCATGGACATACTTCATGTGAATAATTTTTTTTATTGTACGTACCATTTTTTGTACTGCTTTAATTATTGTTTATTTGGACGTATTTTACAAAACTTTATGACTGCATGCATCACATTTTTTATTTTTTTGCAAACGTGCTTGAAGTAGTTGAACTATACCTGTGTAATCATAACAAAGAAGCCATAATATTACTATAAATTTAATTGTTAAATTTAAAATAAAAATTAAGTATAAATATATTTGTTTATTTCAAATTACATATTTGATTTGTTTTTAATTCTTTTACGTGAATTAATCTTTTACGCACACACACATACATACACACACACACACATGTATAATATGTGTATATATTAGGGTGGTTGTTATAGGTTTTTTTTAAATTTTAATGTTGAATGGTCGTAAATCAGTTCTAAATGTAGAAAAAAAATCTCTAATTTTTTCAGATTTTTATTTTCAGCCTTGAGTCTCCCTGTTGGCATGTAATTTTATTAATAATTTTATTAATACCACAGTTCTGCAGCTGCTTCTGTCATCAATTTTTGTTGTAAATAGTTTAAAATTTTAATGAAAAAAAGTTGAAACTATTTGAAAAAACCGAAAATATAGTATAAAATAATATAAAATAGTTAAATAATATAAATAGCGGAATAGCCTATATAATATTTGACTATTTTTTATGAAAAATTAAATAATTTTGTTCACTACTTTTGCAGCTGACTCCATCTAGAACTGAAGTAAATTAAGTATTTTTTCAAATTATAAAAAATATAATATAAATAATATTTAAATAACATATAAATGAATAAATAAATGAACTGATATAAGAATATAACATAACACGTGTAAACAGAGAGACTCAAGGCTGAAAATAAAAATCTGAAGAAATTAGAGAATTATTTTTTCTACATTTGGAGCTGATTTATGACCATTCAACATAATGTTCAATTTAACGACCACCCTAGTATATATATATATATATATATTTCGAAAAATGTGAATTTAAATTTATAAAAGAGTTTTACACAACTTGAAACTTCTACTTTCGAAATGTCAATTATTTTTCAATGTTTGTTAAGTAAAAATTGTCTCTAGATATATATATATATATATATATATATATATATATATATATACAAAAAAGAAGTAAAATAAAGTAAAATGAGAACAGATTGAAGTATTATTGAGTTACGGCGAAGTAATAATTACTGTTAATTGCTCATAACACAATTTATTTTACTTTTATATTTTTTAATAAAAACTTTTATTACTCTGAACAATATTTTAGAAGTGTAGTTTTTTTCTTACTTGAGATATTTTCTTATATCTTAAGAGAGACATGCTATAGTCGATATAATTATATCTATCCTTACTAAAATTCTATCAATATTAACATAAAATAACTTGAATACTTCTGAACAAATGTATCGAGTACTGACAGTAACCTGAAAGTTCACAATCGAATAAAAGTCAATGACTTTAAGTCATAATCAGAATTCAGTATCATTTTCTTATAACAACACATCTTAAAATATTCAAAGAAATTGTCCAACAAATAGACAATTTTAAATAATTCTGATTGACTATTTCGAAAAATGTGAATTTAAATTATAAAAGAGTTTTACACAACTTAAAACTTCTACTTTCAAAATGTCAATTATTTTCCAACGTTTGTTAAACATAAATTGTCTCCAGATAATCTTATTAAAAAAAAACCCACTATTAACAGAGTGGCTAATAATAACTTAGCGACACTCGCTGTTTGTAGTATATATGTATATATGTTTGTGTATAGCATTCATATAGGTCCGAAAAGTCGCTGACGGACCTATATTTTTCTCGCTTATTTCTCCATATGTAAGTTACGAAATTAATTTATATGTGGAACTTTGGGATCTCAAATTGAGATACAGTTCCGTTTAATTAATTTTTCGTTTCGTTTTCGTTTCCTTGGCTCTATTGCCCGGCTTAGAAGACAGCATACTTATATTCTTTATATTGAGAGCCGATAAAAATATTTATTTCTGAGTTTATTCACGCCTTGGGCTAATCACGGCGATATTTACTAACATCTACTAAAGAGGCAAATGAAAAATATGGGATCGAAAGGGTCTGAATAGCTTAGTGCTTAGTTGGTAAGAGCAGTCGCCCGGAAAGTGAAAGACGCGGGTTCGATTCCCGCTTCAGCGACTTTTCGGACCTATATTTTTCTCGCTTATTTCTCCATATGTAAGTTACGAAATTAATTTATATGTGGAACTTTGGGATCTCAAATTGAGATACAGTTCCGTTTAATTAATAAATAATAAATGTATTACTTAGTACTTATAATGCAATATATATAACTTTATGTCCAAGTATTTATAATTTTTATGAAAAAAATATGTATATCATACAATATAAATTTTAATTGCAAGTTATCGAATAATTAAATTAAATTAATTAATTAATAATAATTCAATATATATATATATATATATATATATATGCAGTATATCAAAGCATAACAACTAAAGATGTTTTAAAAAATGTTTTGCTCGATAATTTAATAAAATCATTATTTTAAATCATTTAAATTAATCTTATTTTACATTTCAAATACAATAAATAAACAGTTTTCCTACTAAAAATTAAAAAAAAACTTTTATGAAATAAATTCATAAATTAAATAAATCTAAAAAAATGACTATGTAAAGTAAATAAAGTATACGACTGCAAATATTGAAATCGAGAGTAGGAAAAATTTCAACTGGGAAAGGGTCGAATGTCAATTATAATTATTCTACACAACATTAGGATTTAATTAAATTGTAAAATTGATTTTATTGTTGAAACCTTGCAGTCTAATAAAACTTGTTTTGTCAGTTTTACTGAAAATGACATAAAAAAAATAATATACACAATTTACATTTATTTAATTAAAATATACATAATAATGACACACATATACACAAACACACCCACACACAAATCTTTAAAATAGCATTTTTAACATGATTTTTGTTGAAATCAAACATTAATTTATAAATCATTCTGTTGCTATAGTTAAAATTATATTATTATTATCAGAGGGACTTTGATCATATTTACATAACATATGATAGGATGACTCTATCACTCTGTCGATAAATGCTCACTAGCTGTTATTAAGCTGAACAGTAATACACAGTTGTTTTCGTAACTTGACTTTATATCAGTCGGTGCTACGCGTTCGCCAGAACAGCACTCAAATGTCACCTGTCAACCATCACGATAATTTTGACAGATCATCCGAAAATTCTGAATCATTACAATGGAACGATTTGCGGAAATTGTGCCACGTCAGCGTGGAATATTTCACGTCTCATCGTCTTAAAAACAGTGATAGAATCAAGGCTGCGCTGCTGGTGATTTTGCAGCAGCTAGACGAATTGCAGCCGCTTTACAACGAAATAGCCAAATACGTGTCATGCTTCGATTTCGACGAGACGACTCCGGGAAATGGATACAGAAGTTTCCTCTTGATGATCGACAAAAGTATCGTGCACTCCGAACAGGTTTGCCAAAAGATGTATCGTCAGAAAGACTCATTATTATTCCGAGAGAGTCATCACACGAAGTAATTGTATAAAAACCACACACACACGCACACATCTATTTGACATATATTTTATTATACACGGATTATATAAGTTTAATTCGCAGGGAAGTAGAAGCATGTTCCCAGTTATTGGTATCGTTACAAATATATTTCCCATGTTTAAAAACATTGTATAAATGGAGTAGCCCGGAAATAATGAGCGATGGAAGACCGTCTCTGATAGTAACTGATAAAAACCACAGTTCTCAAGAATTTCTCGGTCTGATAGAACATATTAATCAACATTGTTTCTACGGTAGATGCATAGCATTTCAGGTATATTTGTAAATTATATTTGTCGGATTAAATTTATTCAAAAATGTTTAATATGAAAATATCTCAAATATCATAATTTTTTTAGTTTTGTGATAGTTTAAAAAAGGCAATAATAGTGATAACGTCAGCTATGGCAGCTTATAGCGAAATATTTTATAATAATAATACAATACTAAGACGATGCGTTAATTGCATACAATATTTTTTGGATCCTGAAGCGAGAGCACGTCGTCTTGTCAACATATCTCAGTATGCTGATATTTATTTTACCAGAGCATACTGGTCCCTGCTTGAAATGAGTAAGAACTAAAAAATTAAAGATCACAAATTTCATTCATTAAATTAAAAAATACATTCATATAATATTTACAAAAAAGATATTAACATGATTAAAAAAAGATACAGTAAAAAAATAGAAAAAGTTTCAAATATTGATAACGCAGCTAATAAATTATAATATTGATACGTTTAAAAAATAAAAATAAAGCTTGATGTCTGTAATTTGAGAAAATTTTTATACTGGTTATGTGAAATAATCAGTTTTGCAATGACTAATGACAAAGTAAGAACATAAAAATTGATTAACACATCAAATATTTTTAATTGCTCACAGTGAGTCAATTAATGTAATTTAAATGAGTTAAAAAGCATGTAAGATTTTATCTTTAAAAATTTGCTTTAATTTAACGGAAATCGATTCGACAATTTTTCGCTGAATTGCGGCGACTTGAATTGATAAGCAGTAAACGCACATTTAATATCACAATTTGCCGTTAAAATACCGAATTTTTTCATATTCATATAACACATCAATCTCGAAAACATGATTATTGCTGCGTTATAAATAATAGAAGTTTTATAATTTTTTTAATTTACTTGTTTTTTTCTTGATTTAGTGTAATTAAATAATGATCGAGTGTATTTAGAAAATAATATGTGTATATTATATTTATATTTTAGAAATATTGTATATATTTTATCCCTCGTTGGCTGTCAATCAACAAATATGTATTCCACTTGAGGAAATAATTCTGCCTACTCTCGATGGTGGAACTGTTTCAATTCCAATGCCGAATAGCCACATTGGGAAAAAGCCGATAAATCTTAAATTGCTCAGTTTCAAACGACGCGTAGGAATGGTAAAATATTGAAATCAAATGTTAAATTAAAATATAACTTGATTGCAGAATATACATCGTACACTGAAAGAAAAATGTATTTAATTCTTACAAGTATTTTAATACTGCCAAATGAATCATTTATTTGAAACTAATAATATTTATTTAATATAAAAAATATTTATTTGATATAAGAAAATTCTTATCAAAACAAACAAATATATATTTGTTTCAAATAAATGATTCAGTTGGCAGTATTGATCTAAATATGTATTTAATTAGTCATCCTTTTCAGTGTACACTGAAAAAAATTATTACATTAATAAATATTTATTTCAATATTACCTTATAAATTATTAATTTAAAACAAATATTTTTCTGTTTTTTGAAAAGAATTTTCTTATATGAAATATTATATTAATTTAATTATAAATATTTTTCACGTCAAACTAATGTTATTAATTTCAAATCAATAATTTATAAGACAATACTAAAATAAATATTTATTTGAATTTAATAAATTTTTTTCAGTGCATATATATGATTAATATATTATAATGTATTATTAATGTATAATTAACTTTAATTTAACATTAATAATAAAAATATATTAATTATATATACAATATAAAATTATTAATTAATTAAAAATATTTTTAGTAGGTATATAATTTATATAACTTATACAGAAGAACAATTTAAAATATTTATCTAAATTAATAATTTTTATTGACACACACTCCATCAAGATCGGATCTGGAAGAGAAGGAGGAGAGTTATATGATCCATGCGACAGTTTAATTATTTATATTCACGGAGGCGGATTCATCGCACAGACATCACAATCACACGTAATGTACCTACATAAATGGACTGAGATGCTCGACGTACCAATCCTGTGCATAGATTACAGTTTAGCCCCGGAAGCTCCCTATCCACGCTCTCTTGAAGAAGCCCTGTATTCTTACGCATGGGCGTTAAATCATGCGACTGTACTCGGAAGTACAGCGAAAAGAGTGATACTTATAGGTAAGCAAATTTAGTCTTTGACATGCCTTTAATGTGTACAATTGACAGATTTGATTATTCGATACGGTAAAAGACTGTGTATTTTAATGATTCATTTTTTGACAGGTGATTCCGCCGGTGGTGCATTGTGCTTGCAAATCATCTTCAGATGCGTGCAGTTAAATATAAGAAAACCGACTGGTATTTTTGTAGCTTATCCACCGGGGATCATGGATTTTCTTCCATCGCCATCCCATATGTTCTTTTTGAACGATCCCTTTTTATTGCTCGGTACTGTAATACGAATCATAAAGGCTTACGTGGAAACTGATAAGGACAAATTTGCGTAAGATAAAACTTTAGTCAATATTATTTTAATCTTTCTCCGATCAAAATTCTGGTTATATTTTTTTTATTTTACATTCTTTTATATGAGGAAAATTAAAGTATAGTAAAAAATATGTTTTATGTAGAAGTTTAAAAGAAACAAACGAAAATGAATCGTTTTTACACCGTCTGATGTATCGCATATATATATATATATATATATATATATATATATATATATATTATTGTGATGAAGACGATTGTACAATTTACATAAATATTATAATTTATTTTGCAGGAAACATGAAAATGAAAAATGGGCCAAATTGGATGCAGAGAACTCTTTTGCGGAAGTGAATAAAAATGACCTTACAGCAATGCATCCAAACGAAAACAGCGCGAAAAATATAGTATCTCTTCCATCTAACTCGACATTAAATTCTGTCAACTCAAGAGAAGTCGATGGTATACATAAATCAATTAGTACATATCTTTATAATATACAGGATATTAAATTTCAAACGTAACATGTGAAAGATCTCTTAAACAATACAATTTAGAAAAAGTTTAAAAAAATTGTAAGACTTTGAAATATCTCTTTAATACAATAGAATATTAGTTTAATCTTGAGTGGCGTAATCAAGGTCAAAATAAGATCATCATGAATTTTTTAAATGGAACTATATTTTTCAAATATAAATCAATTGCTCGCAATTGATTGCTTTCCTTTAATTTTGCCTTTATAAAAAAATGTAGAGTCGAAAAATAATGTTTCAGGACAAAGTGATAAATCGTGCTTACTGTTCAGATGGTTCCTCGATCGAAGAAACAATAAGAATATTAGACAGCTTGATATAAAGAATGCGAAAACTCCTTTGGAGGAATTTGTACTTATGAAACGAAAGGTGGATCTGCTCACAAGTCCGTGCCTTGTATCAGACAATGTATTAGTCAATTTTCCGCCCACAAAAATAATGGTAATTTTTTGTTATAATTGTTGACTATGCAAAGTGTAAAACGTTCTGTTCTCGCTATTAAGATTAAATATTTCGGAACATCTTATACGTAACAAATTTGCTTTCAGGCGGCGCAATTTGATCCTTTTCTCGATGATTGCGTCACTTTTGCGAGAAGACTTCGTTCTCTTGGCAATAATGTTACATTGGATGTAATGTCGGATGTGCCGCATGGATTTTTAAATTTAATTAATGTAAAGCTTCTTTTTGTTTCTCTTTATTTGGATGAATCAAAACAGTACATTTACATACATTATATTATTTTATTTTTGTTATTTTTAGGTTTCGAAAGAAGCGAGAGAAGGCATGAAACTCGGTGCTACAAGAATAAAAGAATTGTTAGAGCTATAATTGTGTAATATGAAAAGTTTTTTGTTAAGATGTATATTAACATAAAATAAACATTTTTTTGAATATTGCATGTATACAGCGAATATAATTATCTTTAGATGCAATCAAATATTTGCGATAATATTTTCCATGACTTGACTACCAATAATGTTTTATTTGGTTTACATATATTATATTTATATATAAAATAGGAAAAGAAGATCTTTTTAATACGCAAAATAATGTGATTGTCATATAATTAATATTAGCAAAAAGATTCAAATTTCAGAATAAAAATATGTTAAAAATAAAAATATGAGAATAATCTTCTAATTTACAATAAAGAACATTAGGTTGCAATAAATTTAGCACAGACGATGCGATAATGAACAATTACGAATTATAATTAGAGCTCTGGTAAATCGAACGATAAAGGATTCGACGAAGTATATTTAAGTCCTTATATTTCCGAAATATGTTATGTATTATGACACAAATATGTATGTATATGTATCTTCGAGAAATACAAAATTAGACATTTTGAATTTTAAAAATAGATTAATTTTTTATTAAAAGATTAATCTTTTATGGAATTTTCATCCTTATTTTAATTAGTCAATCTAATGAATGTATCGTTTTATTGCGAATTACAATTATAAAAGTCTGTTTTAAGTAGATTAATGTGGATGAATATGTATTTAAGGAAAGATTGTAAAAGTATATGTTGTATATATTTATATATGTATGTCAAATACTGCATTAGATAAATTTGATTTTCAATTCTGACTTTATATTAGTCTATGTATCATATAATATGTCAGTCTTTTATTTTATTTTATTTAATAAATGAAATTTTCGTCGATCTAAATATTATAATTTTAATTCCCGAATTTTTATTATGTACAGAATTTTAAATCGCCCAATTTTTATTATGTACATAATTTTTATTCCCAAATTTTTATTATGTATATAATTTTAATTTATTGAATTTCTATTATGTACATAATTTTAATTTGCCGAATTTCTATTGTATTATGTTTGAGAATTATTTTGTATAAATCTCTTTATATATTTTTTTATTATTTTGTTAAGTTTAATCGAATATAATTATGTACGCAAAGCGAAGTTATACTATTCTTTGAGAATAAAACCTTCAAAATTGCAACGCATGTATAAAATTATTGCAATGCATGCATAGAAATATATTTATTAATTACGTGATTTATAAAAATTCAATATATAAAGCATAACAACCAAAGATGTTTTCTTCGATAATTAATAAAGTCATTATTTTAAACCATTAATTGAAATTAATCGTATTTTACATTTCGAAAAAATAGCAGTAAATAAACAATTCTCCAATTAAAAACTAAAAAAAAACTTTTATGATATGCGTGTGAAATCATAAAATTAATAAATTCAAAAAAGAGTGACTATATAAAGTAAATAAAGCATAAGATTGAAAATATTGAAATCAGGAGTAGGAAAAATTTTAACTGGGAAAAAATCAAATGTCAGTTATAAATTGTAATTAATCTACACAACATTAGGATTTAATTAAATTGTAAAATTAATTTTATTGTTGAAACATTGTAGTCTAATAAAACTAGTTTTGTCAGTTTTAATATACTAAAAATGACAAAAAGGAATTATAATATACACGATTTACATTTATTTCATTACAATATACACAATAATAACACACATACGCAAACACGCACACACAGACGAACCTTCAAAATAACTTTATTTATCAAAATAATCTTATTTTTTTATTTTCTGATTGAAATCAAACATTAATTATTCATAAGCCATTCTGTCGCTATAGTTTTAATTATATTCCCAATATCAGAAGAACTTTGATTTTTATATAACATATGATAGGATGGGTCAACAAGTTCGTCGACAATTACTCACAATCAGTAGCTGTTATCAAGTTTAACAGTGATACCCAGTTGTTTTCGTGGATTCATTTTATATCAGTCAGTGCTACGCGCTCGCCAGAGCAACACTCAAATGTCACCTGTCAACCATCACGATAATTTTGACAGATCATCCGAAAATTCTGAATCATTACAATGGAACGATTTGCGGAAATTGTGCCACGTCAGCGTGGAATATTTCACGTCTCATCGTCTTAAAAACAGTGATAGAATCAAGGCTGCGCTGCTGGTGATTTTGCAGCAGCTAGACGAATTGCAGCCGCTTTACAACGAAATAGCCAAATACGTGTCATGCTTCGATTTCGACGAGACGACTCCGGGAAATGGATACAGAAGTTTCCTCTTGATGATCGACAAAAGTATCGTGCACTCCGAACAGGTTTGCCAAAAGATGTATCGTCAGAAAGACTCATTATTATTCCGAGAGAGTCATCATACGAAGTAATTGTATAAAAACCACACACACACGCACACATCTATTTAACATATATTTTAGAATACACGGATTATATAAGTTTAATTTGTAGGGAAGTAGAAGCATGTTCCCAGCTATTGATATCGTTACAAATATATTTCCCATATTTAAAAATATTGTATAAATGGAGCAGCCAAGAAATAATGAACGATGGAAAACCGCCTCTGATAATAACAAACCACAGTTCTCAAGAATTTCTCGGTCTGATAGAACATATTAATCAACATTGTTTCTACGGCAGATGTGTAGGATTTCAGGTAGTATATATTTGCAAATAATATTTGTCGGTTTAAATATTTGTCGGTTTAAATTTATTTAAAAATGTTTAATGTGAATATATTTGAAATGTCATAATTTTTTTAGTTTTGTGATAGTATGAAAACAGTTATAAAATTAATAGTGTCACTTACGGCAGCTTATAGCGAAATATATTATAATAATGATACAATACTAAGACGATGCATTAATTACATAAAATATTTCTTGGATCCTGAAGCGACAGCAAGTCGTCTTGTCAACATATCTCAGTATGCTGATATTTATTTTACAAAAGAATACTGGTCCCTGCTCGAAATGAGTAAGAAATAAGAAATTCAAGATCACAAATTTTATTAATTAAATCTAAAAATACATTTGTATAATATTTTTAAAAAATAAATATATATATAGACTTGATTAAAAACATACAGTAGAAAAATAAAAAAAAAACTATTAATATTTATAACGCAGCTAATAATAATAATATCAATATGTTTAAAAATTAACAAAAAAGCTTGATGTCTGTAGTTTCAAAAAATTTTAATATTGATTAATTGGAATAATCAGTTTTGCAATGACTAATGACAAAGTAAGAACATAAAAATTGATTAACACATCAAATATTTTTAATTGCTCACAGTGAGTCAATTAATGTAATTTATATGAGATAAAAAGCGCGTAAGATTTTTATTTTTAAAAATTCGCTTTAATTTAACAGAAATCTATTCGACAATTTTTTGCTGAATTGCGGCGACTTGAATTCATAAGCAGTAGACGCATTTAATATCACAATTTGCCGTTAAAATACCGAATTTTTTCATATTGATATAATTCAGCGATCTCGATAACATAATTATTAGCTGCGTTATAAATAATAGAATTTTCACAAATGTTTTCTATTTTTCCTTTACTGTCTTTTTCTTGATCGACTGTACGTAAATAATGATCGAGTGTATTTAGAAAATAATATGTTTACATTATATCTATATTTTAGAAATATTGTACATATTATATCCCTCGTTGGCTGTCAATCAACAAATATGTATTCCACCCGAGGAAATAATTTTGCCTACTTTCCATGGTGAAACTGTGTCAATTCCAATACCAAATAGCTACATTGGAAAGAAGTCGATAAATCTTAAATTGCTGAGTTTCAAACGACGCGTAGGAATGGTAAAATATTGAGATTAAATGTTAAATTAAAATATAACTTGATTGTAGTACATACGAGTTATTATATGCTTCATTTAACTTATTATAATATTAATCTAATTATATCGTACACTGAATAAAAATATTATATTAGTAAATATTCATTTCAATACTACCATATAAATCATTAATTTAAAACAAATAAATGTTTTTTTTGTTTTGAAAAGGATTTTCTTATATGAAATAAATTTTTATTAATTTAATAATAAATATCTTTCACGTCAAATTGATATTATTAATTTGAAAAAAATGATTTATAAGGCAGTACTGAAATAAATATTTATTCGAATTTAATATATTTTTTTCAGGGTATATACATATATAATTAATATATTATTATTATTATTAATGTATAATCAATATTTAATAATAAATATATATTAATTATATATACAATATAAAATTACTAATTAATTAAAAATATTTCTAGTAAGTATATAATTTATATAATTCATAGAATAGAAAAATTTAAAATATTTCGCTAAAGCAATTAATAATTTTTCTTGATACTACACTCCATCAAGATCGGATCTGGAAGCGTAGGAGAAGAGTTATATAATCCATGCGACAGTTTAATTATTTATATTCATGGAGGCGGATTCATCGCACAGACATCACAATCACACGTAATGTACCTACATAAGTGGACTAAGATGCTCGACGTACCAATCTTGTGCATAGATTACAGTTTAGCCCCCGAAGCTCCCTATCCACGTTCCCTTGAAGAAGCCTTATATTCTTACGTATGGGCGTTAAATCATGCGACTATACTCGGAAGTACAGCGAAAAGAGTGATACTTGTAGGTAAGCAAATTTTGTCTTCGACATGCCTTTAATGTGTACAATTGCCAGATTTGATTATTCGATACGGTAAAAAACTGTGTATTTTAATGATTCATTTTTTGACAGGTGATTCCGCCGGTGGTGCATTGTGCTTGCAAATCACTTTCAGATGCGTGCAGTTAAATATAAGAAAACCGACTGGTATTTTTGTAGCTTACCCACCAGGGATCATCGATTTTCTTCCATCGCCATCCCATATGTTCTTTTTGAACGATCCGTTCTTATTGGTCGGTACCATAATACGAATCTTAAAGGCTTACGTGGGAACTGATAGAGACACATTTACGTAAGATAAAACTTTAAACAATATTATTATAATCTTCCTTAAATCAAAATTACAAATTTTTTTATTTTACATTTTTTTATACGATGAAAATTAAAGTATAATGAATAATATGTTTTATGTAAAAGTTTAAAAAAATATATCAAACAAAGATTAATTATTTTTACACTGTCTGATGTATTGCATATATATATTTTATTGTGATGAAAGCGATTGTAGAATTCACATTTAAATACTATAATTTGTTTTGCAGGGAACATGAAAATGAAGAATGGGCCAAATTGGATGCAGAAAACTCTCCTGCGGAAGTGAATAAAAATGAACTTACAGCAATGCATTTAAACGAAAACAGCGCAAAAAATATAGTATCTTTTCCATCTAACTCAACATTAAATTCTGTCAACTCAAGAGAAGTCGATGGTATACATAAATTGATTTGTACATATCTTTATAATATACAGAGTATTAAATTTTAAACGTAACAGGTGGAAGATCTCTTAAACAATACATTTTAAAAAAAGTTTAACAAAAATTGTAAGCCTTAAAAATTTCTCTTTAATACAATAGAATATTACTGTACTATTAAGTGCCGTAATCAAGGTCAGCATAAGATCATTTCAAATTTTTTAAATGGAACTATATTTTTTAAATCGATTCTTTGCACTATTTTGTTTGAAAAGTCATAAGAGTAATATGATCAAAAAGTGAATAATTTATGAAAGATTTGATATTTTAATTTAATATAATGTTACATAAACTATAAAATATCTAGTAAAATATGTAATTTGCATTAAATATATTTTACTTAAAAGCAATTATCTGTTTTCAGAGTGTTCCATTTTAAATAATGTATTTATTAAATAATGTAATTTTAAAATAACGTGTTTTTTTTTTAAATTATATAGTGATTCCGTTTATAAAAATTATGATATCTTAACAATCTCAAAAATAACACCATCTGAAATAAGACTATGCTTACAACAAGATGTCCCTTTCGAAAACTTTTTCGAACAACTTTTGTGAATAACACATTTTTGAAGTAAGAGTTTAAGTATGCCCTTTCGCTGACTCAGGAAGGAAAAGTTAGCGAGAAGGCAAATATAAACTTTAACTCCAAATGACGTGGCCCAAAAGGATCATCAACCGGAAGGTCAATTTTACGCTACTAAAAAGCCGTCAGGTCGATGATCCCTTTTCGCTTATATACACACACATCCACTTATTGTTAGCTTTTAAATATATTTTACAAGAAGATCTAATGCAACAATTAAGGATATAAAAATACAAGCTTAGTTCCGAAAATATAGTAGTAAATTTTTAAATATGTACAGAATATTCGCTTTCCTTTAATTTCGTCTATTTCGCCTTTATAAAAAAGAATGCAGCGTCAAAAAATAATGTTTCAGGACAAAGTGACAAATTATGCTCTCCGTTCAGATGGTTCCTCGATCGAAGAAACAATAAAAATATTAGACAGCTTGATACAAAGAATGCGAAAACTCCTTTGGAAGAATTTGAATGTATGATACTGAAGGAGGATCTGTTTATAAGTTCTTGCCTTGTATCAGACAATATATTAATCAATTTTCCGCCAACAAAAATAATGGTAATTTTTTTGTTATAATTTTTGACTATGCAAAGTGTAAAACGTTCTGTTCTTGCTATTAATATTGAATATTTTGGAACGTCTTATACTTAACAAATTTGCTTTCAGGCGGCACAATTTGATCCTTTTCTCGATGATTGCGTCACTTTTGCGAGAAGACTTCGCTCTCTCGGCAATAACGTTACATTGGATATAATACCAGATATGCCGCATGGATTTTTAAATTTAATTAATGTAAAGCTTCTTTTTGTTTCTCTTTATTTGAATGAATCAAAACAGTACATTTACATTATATTATTTTATTTTTGTTATTTTTAGGTTTCGAAAGAAGCGAGAGAAGGCATGAAACTCGCTGCTAGAAGAATAAAAGAATTGTTGGAGTTATAATTGTGTAATATGAAAAGTTTTTTGTTAAGATGTATATTAATACAAAATAAACATTTTTTTATATTGTATTTATGCAACAAATATAATTATCTTTAGATGCAATCAAGTATTTGCAATATTATTTTCAATGACTTGACTACCGATAATATTTTTTTTTTGTTTACATATATTATATTTATGTGTTTATATATAAAATGGAAAAAAGAGATCTTTTAATACGCAAAGTAATGTGATTGTCATATAATTAATATTAGTAAAAAGATTAAAATTTTAGAATAAACATATGCTAAAAATAAAAATATGAGAGTAACTATCTTCCAATTTATAATAAAAAACATTAGGTCGCAATAAATTTAGCACAGACGATGCGATAATAAACGATTGCGAATTATAATTAGAGCTCTGGTAATTCGAACGATAAAGCGTTCGACGAAGTATATTTAAGTATCCTTATATTTTCGAAATATTTTGTATATTATGACACAAAATTGTGTGTATATATATCTTCGAGAAATATTAAATTATATATTTTGAATTTTAAAAATAGATTAATTATTTTTAAAAGATTAGTCATTCATGGAATTTTTATCCTTATTTTATTTACTCAATAAACTCAATTACTAATGACTGTATTGTTTTATTGCAAATTATAATTATAATAGTCTGTTTTACAATAAATAGATTAATGTGGACAAACGTGTATTTAAGAAAAAATTGTAAAGGTATATATTATATATATGTATATTACAGGGTTGGGAAAGTTACTTTGTAAAAGTAACTAGTTACAGTTACAGTTATTTCATTGAAAAAGTATCTAGTTACAATTACCGATTATAAAAAATAACTCGTTACAGTTACTCAAAAAGTAACGAGTCGTTACTTTTCAGTTACTTTAAAAAAATATAAAACAATTAAAAGGCTAATAAGAACCATGCGTAGAGGTCATACACGCAATATAAAATTAAAGAGGTTACTAAAGATACAAGGATTTGTTATCAAATGATTTACACAGCAACGTGGTATATAAAATTTGTTGCAAAGATTGTGATGCAACTTATGTTGGTCAGACTAGTAGACTCTTAAAGACTCGCATAAGTGAACATCGTAACCATATTAATAGAAATACTTCGCAACAATCAGTGATTACTGAACGTAGATTATCTAATCATGAGTTTGATTGGACTAATATTGAAATCTTGGATGAGGAACCTTATCTAACAACTTGTAAGTATGAGATTGAGGACGGAAATGATTTATATTAAAAAGCAAAAAAAACAGTCTAAACTTGCGAAGTGTGCATGGAGATGCATTTTTCTATCGTTTGCTACCGATGCGAGGCTCCCTTGACGAGAGATCGATTAAGCACACGAGTTTTCATTTTATCTTATTGTATTAGAAGTATGTATCTTAGATAGTTGTTATAATTTTATAATTTGTTGACATTATTGCATCTGTTATATCTTCAAATTTGTATGATTCTAGTCTCTGAAGATGGTCCGAAGTGGAACCGAAACGTCAGATAATTAAATTTATATTCAACTTTATGATTTATTTACTTTAATTTAGTTACTTTAATTTACTTTAATTTAGTAACCTCTTTAATTTTATATTGCGTGTATGATCTCTACGCTGGTTCTTATTGGCCTTTTAATTGTTTTATATTTTTAATACGTAGAACCTTTATACATTTATTTTGAAAAATAATTATACATTATTTTAAATATAAGGAGCTTACATTTTATGCACAATCACATCCAGCAAAAACCGATATATAATTGTTACATTGCTATAATAAAACGGAATATAACAGGTAATATAACGTGTACGTTACATGTAACATCCATGTTAGTTGTAATTTCCGACTCATAGATGTAACATTTTAATATAACATATATTACATTATAGTTATATTGTAATTATATACCAAATAGCACATTGATGTATTGATAAGTCAGTGCTATCTTGGGATATAATGACAATATAACTACAATGTAATATATGTAATATTAAAAATGTTACATCTATGAGTGGGAAATTACAACTAACATATACGTTATATGTAACATGCTTAAGTATATAACATTTATATACTGTTTGCTGGGCAGTCAAGTATTTAAAAATGTTATCAAACTGAAGAGTGATGCACAGGTATCTTGGTGTATTGATTTTATATCAGTCGGTGCTACGCGTTCGCCGAGAAAACACTCAAATGCCACCTGTCAACCATCACGATAATTTTGACAGATTATCCGAAAATCTTAAATCGTCACAATGGAACGATTTGCGAAAATTGTGCAACGTCAGCGTGGAATATTTCACGTCTCATCGCCATAAAAACAGTGATAGAATCAAGGCTGCGCTGCTGGTGATTTTGCAGCAACTGGACGAATTGCAGCCGATTTACGACGAAATAGTCAAATTCGCGCCATGCTTCGATTTCGACGAGACGACTCCGGGAAATGGATACAGAAGTTTTCTCTTGATGATCGACAAAAGTATCGTGCACTCCGAACAGGTTTGCCAAAAGATGTATCGTCAGAAAGACTCATTATTATTCCGAGAGAGTCATCACACGAAGTAATTGTATAAAAACCACACACACGCACACATCTATTTAACATATATTTTAGAGTACACGGACTATATAAGTTTAATTTGTAGGGAAGCGGAAGCATGTTCCCAGCTATTGATATCGTTACAAATAACTTTGCCATATTTAAAAATATTGTATAAATGGAATAGCTTGGAAATAATGAGCGATGGAAAACCGCCTCTGATAATAACGGACCACAGCCGTCAAGAATTTCTCGGTCTGATAGAACATGTCAATCCACATTGTTATTACGGTAGATGCGCAGGATTTCAGGTAGTACATATTCTTTAATAATATTTGTCGGATTAAATTTATTTAAAAATGTTTAATGTGAAAATATCTGAAATGTCATAATTTTTTTAGTTTTGTGATAGTTTAAAAAAGCCAATAAAATTAATGATGTCAGCTATGGCAGCTTATAGCGAAATATATTATAATAATAATACAATACTGAGACGATGCGTTAATTGCATAGAATATTTTTTGGATCCTGAAGCGACAGCACGTCGTGTTGTTAACATATCTCAGTATGCTGATATTTATTTTACCAAAGCATGTTGGTCCGTGCTTGAAATGAGTAAGAAATAAGAAATTTAAGATCACAAATTTTATTACTATAACTAAAAATACATTTATATAATATTTACAAACAAATAAATATAAACTTGATTAAAAAAAGATACAGTAGAAAAATAGAAAAAACTTATAATATTTATAACGCAGCTAATAATTATAATATCGATATGTTTAAAGAATAAAAATAAAGCTTTATGTCTGTAATTTGAAAAAATTTTAACATTGATTACGTGGAATAATCACTTTTACAATGGCTGACGACAAAGTGAGAAACTGAAAACTGATTAACACATCTAGCTTTTTGAATTGCACGGAGTGAATCAATTAATGTAACTTAAATGAGATAAAAAGCGTGTAAGTTCAAATTTTTTATTTTGATTTTTCCGTTCAAATATGTGCTTTAACGAAATCAATGAGATAATTTTTCGCGGAATTGTGGCGACTTGAATTGATAAACGGCAAACACACATTTTAAATCACAATTTGCCGTTAAAAAACCGAATTTATTTATATTGATATAACTCGATGTCAGCGACCTCAATAACATAATTATTAGCTACGTTGTAAATAATAGAAGTTTTACACTTTTTCTTTAGTTTTTTATTGTATTGTCTTTTTCTTGATTGAGTGTATTTAAATAATGACCAAATGTATTTAAAGAATAAATATGTGTATATTAAATCTATATTTTAGAAATATTGTGCATATTTCATCCCTCGTTGGCTGTCAATCAACCAATATGTATTCCACCCGAGGAAATAATTCTGCCTACTCTCGATGGTGAAACTGTGTCAATTCCAATACCGAATAGCCACATTGGAAAGAAGTCGATAAATCTTAAATTGCTGAGTTTCAAACGACGCGTAGGAATGGTAAAATATTGAGATTAAATGTTAAATTAAAATATAACTTGATTGTAGTATATACGAGTTATTATATGCTTCATTTAACTTATTATAATATTAATCTAATTATATCGTACACTGAATAAAAATATTATATTAGTAAATATACATTTCAATACTACCATATAAATCATTAATTTAAAACAAATAAATATTTTTTTTGTTTTGAAAAGGATTTTCTTATATGAAATAAATTTTTAATAATTTAATAATAAATATCTTTCACGTCAAATTGATATTATTAGTTTGAAAAAAATGATTTATAAGGCAGTACTGAAATAAATATTTATTCAGATTTAATATATTTTTTTCAGGGTACATACATATATAATTAATATATTATTATTATTATTAATGTGTAATCAATATTTAATAATAAATATATTTTAATTATATATACGATATAAAATTACTAATTAATTAAAAATATCTTTAGTAGGTATATTATTTAAAAAATTTATAGAGTAGAAAAATTTAAAATATTTCGCTAAAGCAATTAATAATTTTTGTTAAAACCATACTCCATCAAGATCGGATCTGGAAGCGCAGGAGGAGAGTTATATGATCCATGCGATAGTTTAATTATTTATATTCACGGAGGGGGATTCATCGCACAGACATCACAATCACACGTAATGTACCTACATAAGTGGACTAAGATGCTCGACGTACCAATCTTGTGTATAGATTACAGTTTAGCCCCGGAAGCTCCCTATCCACGCTCCCTTGAAGAAGCCCTGTATTCTTACGCATGGGCGTTAAATCATGCGACTGTACTCGGAAGTACAGCAAAAAAAGTGATACTTGTAGGTAAGCAAATTTTGTCTTCGACATGCCTTTAATGTGTATAATTGACAGATTTGATTATTCGATGCGGTAAAAGACTGTATACTTTAATGATTCATTTTTTGACAGGTGATTCCGCCGGTGGTGTCTTGTGCTTGCAAGTTATCTTCAGATGCGTGCAGTTAAATATAAGAAAACCGACCGGTATTTTTGTGGTTTACCCACCAGGGATCATCGATTTTCTTCCATCGCCATCTCATATGTTCTTTTTGAACGATCCGTTCTTATTGGTCGGTACCATAATACGACTTTTGAAGGCTTACGTGGGAACTGATAAAGGCACATTTACGTAAGATAAAACATTAGTTAATATTATTATAATCTTCCTCAAATCAAAATTACAATTTTTTTTTTATTTTACATTTTTTTATACGATGAAAATTAAAGTATAATGAATAATATGTTTTATGTAAAAGTTTAAAAGAATATATCAAACAAAGATCAATTATTTCTACACTGTTTGATGTATCGCATATACATATTTTATTGTGATGCAGACAATTGTATGATTCACATAAATACTATAATTTATTCCGCAGGAAGCATGAAAATGAAGAATGGGCGAAACTGGATGCAAAGAGCTCTTCTGTTGAAGTGAATGAAAATCACGTTACAGCAATGCATCCAAACGAAAACAGCGCGAAAAGTATAGCATCTCTTTCATCTAATTCGACATTAACTTCTGTCAACTCAAAAAAAATCGATGGTATATACATAAATTGATTAATACATATCCTTATATAATCGTGACAATATATTTTAGAAAAAGTTTGAAAAAAATTGTAAAGTTTAAAAATATCTGTTTAATATAATATAATATAACTTTAATCTTGAGAGGCGTATTCAAGATCAGGATAAGATCATCATAAATTTTTTAAATAGAACTACTATATTTTTTTAATAGAATCGATTTCTCGCAATATTCTGTTTGAAAAATTATACGTGTGATATTATCAAAAAAATGAATAGTTTATGAAATTATATAATTTAATTTGATATAATTTTACATTCAAACTATAAAATATCTCGTAAAATATGTAATTTGCAATTATATATATTTTTCTTAAAAGCATTTATCTGTTTTCAGGGTGTTTTATTTTAAATAATGTATTCATTTATAAAATAACATTTTTAAAAAAGTTTAATGAGATTCCGTTTAAAAAAATAACGATGACTTTATGATCTCAAAAATATCTTTATTTGAAATAAGACTACACTTAGGTACGATAAGATTCCCCTTTTGAAAACTTTTTCAAACAACTTTTATAAATAACACATTTTTAAACTAAAAGTTTAGCTTATGCTCTTCCGCTGACTCAGGAAGAAAGAGTCAGGCTTTAGATATGTGAGTTGGCATACTTAAACTTTAACTCTAAATGACGTGACGTCAAATGTGCTTAGGTTCAAAGAGATCATCAACCGGAAAGTCTATTTTACTCAAAAAACATCAGATCGATGATTCTTTCTTGCTTGTATACACACATCTACTTTTGTTAGCTTTTAAATATACTTTATAAAAAAATCTAATGCAACAATTACTAAGGATATAAAAATACCAGCTCAGTTCCGAAAGTATAGTAGTAAATTTTTAAATATGTACAGAATATTTGCTTTCCTTTAATTTCGTCTATTTCGCCTTTATATAAAAGAAAGAAGTGTCAAAAAATAATGTTTCAGGCCAAAGTGGCACATCATGGTCTCTGTTTAGATGGTTTCTTGATCGAAGAAATAATAAAAATATTAGACAGCTTGATACAAAGGATGCAAAAACTCCTTTAGAGGAATTTGTATTTACAATACCAAAGGAGGATCTGCTCATACATCCTTGCCTTGTATCAGACAATTTATTAGTCAATTTTCCGTCCACAAAAATAATGGTAATTCTTTGTTATAATGTTTGACGAATCCAAGTGTGATACGTTCTGTTCTCGCTATTAAGATTGAATATTTTGGAACATCTTATACATAATAAATATGTTTTTAGACGGCACAATTTGATCCTTTCCTCGATGATTGCATCATTTATGCGAGAAGACTCCGTTCTCTCGGCAACAACGTTACATTGGATATAATGCCGGATATGCCGCATGGATTTTTAAATTTAGTACATGTAAAACTTTTTTTGTTTCTCTTTATGTAAGTGAATTAACAGAGTACATTTACACTATTTTATTTTGTACTTTCCATTTTTAGTTTTCGAAAGAAGCGGTGGAAGGCATGAAATTCGCTGCTAGAAGAATAAAAGAATTGTTGGAGCTATAATTGTGCAATATGAGAATTTTTTTGTTAAGATTATTTTTTGTATATTAATAAAAAAATAAATATTTTTTAATATTGCATTTATAAAGCGAATATAATTATCTCTAGATATTCCACAGAGATGTCTTTTGTTCTCTCTATCATACGTTAAACTTACCTGTTAGGGATAATGTAGCGGATTGTAGTAGAAGACCACTACTATGTATACGAGAATAGCCTTTTATATAACATGATATATCTCATTAAAATATAACTTTAATTATTCATAAATTATTCTGTTGCTATAATTATAATGATATCATCAATAGGACATCAGAAGGACTTTCATCGTTACATAACATATGATAGGATGGTTCTTTATATTATATATAACATATGAAAGGCTGGTTCAATCTTTATATAACAAATGATAGGATAATTCATTCAGTCTGTCGACAAACGCTGAGTAAGTCTTATCAAGCTGAACACTGATACCCAGTTGTTTTCGTGGTTTCATTTTATATCAGTCAGTGCGACGCGTTCGCCAGGACAACACTCAAATGTCACCTGTCAATCATCACGATAATTTTGACAGATCATCCGAAAATCTTAAATCGTCACAATGGAACGATTTGCGAAACTTGTGCAACGTCAGCGTGGAATATTTCACGTCTCATCGTCATAAAAACAGTGATAGAATCAAGGCTGCGCTGCTGGTGATTTTGCAGCAACTGGACGAATTGCAGCCGATTTACAACGAAATAGTCAAATTCGCGCCATGCTTCGATTTCGACGAGACGACTCCGGGAAATGGATACAGAAGTTTCCTCTTGATGATCGACAAAAGTATCGTGCACTCCGAACAAGTTTGCCAAAAGATGTATCGTCAGAAAGACTCATTATTATTCCGAGAGAGTCATCACACGAAGTAATTGTATAAAAACCACACACACACGCACACATCTATTTAACATACAGGGTTTACCAAAAGTGTGACAATCCCTAAATATCTCGGAAAATATACGTTTTACAGAAAAGTGTTTCGAACAAAAGTTGTAGGGTTTAAAAAGATCCACATATTCTATCAGATTGACCTTGGATGGCGTCGTCAAGGTCAGGTCAAGGTCACGTTGATTTTTTCAAATGGCACCCCCTACATTTGATTGCATATTCTTATAGCTTAATTCAAGAGCTTTCCAAAGCACTATAATAATGTTCATTTTTATTACGTACTTTGCGAGTTATGAGGGTTTAACGTTAGAGTACCGCCGGTTTTAACATTATTCAAGGTATACCACATGGAGGTTACTCGCTCGGATTTGCATCTGTTGTGTGTGTGATCCAGTCAACTATAAGGCAAGATCGGTCGTGGATCCAGCCAACTAGGACAAGATCGGTCATGGATCCAGTCAGCAAAAGCAAAGACCCAACTGAAACCATATCTGATCGAAGTTTTCACCTGTTATTGCTTGTATTGCCGAAAGTATTTAATTCCTCAACATATCCTCATATTTCGCTGAAGTCAAATTACCAAAAAAACTGCTCCATAAAACGTGTATCGTACGAATCAGTATGTGGATCTTTTTAAACTCTACAACTTTTGTTCGAAACACTTTTCTGTAAAACGTATATTTTCCGAGATATTTAGGGGTTGCCACACTTTTGGTAAACCCTGTATATTTTATAATACACGGATTATATAAGTATAATTTGCAGAGAAATAGAAGCATGTTCCCAACTATTGGTATCGTTAAAAATATCTTTGCCATATTTAAAAATATTCTATAGATGGAGTAGCCAAGAAATAATGAACGATGGAAAACCGTCTCTGATAATAACGAACCACAGTCCTCAAGAATTTCTCGGTCTGATAGAACATGTTAATCAACATTGTTTCTATGGCAGATGTGTAGGATTTCAGGTAGTATATATTTGCAAATAATATTTGTCGGATTAAATTTATTTAAAAATATTTAATGTGAAAATATCTGAAATGTCATAACTTTTTTAGTTCTGTGATAGTTTAAAAAAGACACTAAAATTAATGATGTCAGCTACGGCAGCTTATAGCGAAATATATTATAATAATAATACAATACTAAGACGATGCGTTAATTGCATAGAGTATTTTTTGGATCCTGAAGCGACAGCACGTCGTATTGTTAACATATGTCAATATGCTGATATTTATTTTATCAAAGCATACTGGTCCCTGCTTGAAATGAGTAAGAAATTTAAGATCACAAATTTTATTCATTAAATCTAAAAATACATTTATATAATATTTACAAAAAAAATATAAGCTCAATTAAAAAAAAAGATGCAATAAAAAAATAGAAAAAAAGTTTTAAATATTTATAACGCAGCTAATAACACTGTTCGACATACAAAAACATGGTATGATACGCATTTTTCTCAGACGGATTCGTAATCAGCATGAAAAACTCTACAAGAATACGCTTTAAAAAATCTCCGAACCTGAAAGAGGTCATTTTTTGTCGACTATTTATAATATCGATATGTTTAAAAAATAAAGATAAAGCTTGATTTCTGTAGTTTGAGGAAAATTTAATATTGATTACGTGGAATAATCAATTTTGCAATGACTGATGACAAAGTGAGAACCTGAAAACTGATTAACATATCAAATATTTTGAATTGCTCGCTGTGAGTTAATTAAAGAGCGTGCAAGTTCGTTTTTTTTTTAAATTTGCTTGAACGGATATCGATACGAAAATTTTTCGCTTAATCGGCGACTTGAATTGATAGACGTCAGTCACATATTTTAAATCAGAATTTGTCGTTAAAAAAAAGAATTATTTCATATTGATATAACTCAGCGATGTAAATAACATAATTATTACATTTATATTTCAATAATTATACTGAAGAAGACCGCGTGCGGTCGAAACGTTTATAGAATGATTGTAATTTGCGTTAGTTTTAATATCTAATGACTGTAGTTTTATAATTTATACATGTAATAAATGGTAATTGACTGAACATCTCGAATATTCAGCTCGATAAGTTGGCCTTAGATTTATCACTTTGTTTTTAATATACAAGCGACAATTTGTATTAATTTATTCATAATTATTAGCTGCGTTATAAATAATAAAAGTATCACAATTTTTTCCCATTTTTTTTATTGTACTGTTTTTTCTTGATCAAGTGTATTTAAATAATGAATATGTGTATATTATATTTATATTTTAGAAATATTGTGCATATTTTATCCCTCGTTGGCAGTCAATCAACCAATATGTATTCCACCCGAGGAAATAATTCTGCCTACTCTCAATGGTGAAACTGTGTCAATTCCAATACCGAATAGCCACATTGGAAAGAAGTCGATAAATCTTAAATTGCTGAGTTTCAAACGACGCGTAGGAATGGTAAAATATTGAGATTAAGTGTTAAATTAAAATATAACTTGATTGTAGTATATACGAGTTATTATATGCTTTATTTAACTTATTATAATA